TATATATATATATAATAATATTCTCTAGTTTTTCTGATGTTTGGCAGATTAAAAGGCCAGTGGTCACACACCAGAGAGAAATGATAACATCTCTCCTCGTCCTAAGCAAACTGCGATTATCATCTGTGTGCAGAAGCTGTGGTGACATAGAAAAACCTCACTCCTCCTCACCCTCCTCTTCTTTTCTTTTCCTAAACAAAAGAAGGGATTTAACATACTTACTCACACTTGTGTGTCCCCCTCTCTCACAGGTGACTCCATCCTCGAAGATCGTGGGTGACCTGGCGCAGTTCATGGTGCAGAACAACCTGACCAGGGCAGAAGTGGAGGAGAGGGCAGACGAGTTGTCCTTCCCCCTGTCTGTGGTCGAGTTCCTGCAGGGATACATCGGGATACCACATGGAGGATTCCCCGAGCCCTTCAGGTCTAAGGTACAGTAGTTTGTCCTGTATGTGCCTTTTCCAAACTTTAGTTTAATATCTCACAGACTTCTGATCATTTCCATTCAGGTTTTCATAAACATTGATTTACAATTTAAAGGCAACTTAGAACTTTATCTTAACTTTACTTACTTTATTTAACTTCTTTCACTTTTTGTGTAACCAACACCTACCATAAACATATGCAGGAGAGCCTATTTGAAGCCAGATGTGCATGTACACACGCACACACAAATTCTGTCACATGCTTGGTTACATCTGACAGTTGCAAACGGTGAAGAAAACCATGATATTGCTCTGTGCTCATCTCCTTTCTGTTTCTCCACCTCTGTCTACTTCTCGTGTCTCCTGTCTCTCTCTCTGCGACTGCGAGCAGTGAGGGAGAGACTCTCATGTGTATCAGGCACCAACAGCTTGAAGTCTCCTTGGGAGAGTCGCATGAACACACATGAATAAAGGCAAATTTGTCACATTCTCCCAAAAAAAACCTGCTCACATATTGGTGCACTTGACATTTCCCCCAAAAAGTCAGACTATTTTTTCCCCCTACTAACATCCACACTCTTGAGCGCTTCATTATGTATTTTCAGTGAGCTTTCTCGCACCTAAAATGTGATGTGAGACCCTGTCTGCACTTCTGTCACAATGTGTAGCTGTGAATGTAGCATTTCGTGGTAAAAATGTTTGCAGAGCCTTAGATACTTGTGCATAAGCTAGGGGACGATTAGAATATAATAAGTCATCTATTTACTGCCCCTTTTTGATGAACAGCATTGAATTTAGCTAATGGTCTTGCTGCCTGTCAAGTTCATTTTTAATCACTTAGTTGTAGATGTATGCTCATTCATTTGTGTGTTTATCTGTCTGTCCAGTCACTGTTTCTCTCTCACATCTTTCCTCCTCTTTGTTCACGTCCTGTCACCCTTATCATCAACTTGTCTTTTCTCCCCCTGTCTCCTTCACTGGCATACAGTTGGGAGATTATATGATCAAATATTTGTCATTTAGCTGCCTAGGCAGTCCCGCCCTTGACAATCAGAGTCATTTTTCAGTTTTGACATACACTATGCAACCTTGTGTCTGCTACCTCTCTATTAGTGTCTCTCAATCTGTCTCATGTTTCCCCTGAATATGGCAGAGGAATCCTTCCTATTAAACAAAGAAGATGGTGAACAGCTTCTGTATTCATTCACATCTTCCTTTTATATTTTCAGTCAGGTTTGGAATGTCTTATGCTGGCTACTATGAATCTGCAGCATACATACATGCAAAAGTTCAAATTTTCTTCTGCTGCCCTTTGAGCATTGTAAAGGGGGATATTTGCATTCCAGCTCTTTGGTGTTGTATTTTCCAGGAGTTTTCCAGCCAGCTTGCACCATGCATTAAGCATATAAAACTGTGCTAGAGCTGTAGCCTGCATTTTAGTGCTCTAAGTAAATCCTTAAAGGACCAGTGTGTA